TTTACAAAAACTTTTGTGACAATCCTCATTCAATGACAATGCCTTCTCCTTTTGTGGCTTGCCTCGGATTCTTCACATAGGTCTCCCGGTGTTTGTAGAGTAGCGATGCAATATCAAGTCTACATTTGGCGACATCAAATTTCTGTGGTATAGAACATCTGCCATCTCGAAGGATATATAACGCATATAATATGACGAACACTCCGCAATCATGACTGTGGAATAACACAAAACAGTATGTTATGAAATAATATTAAAATATGTTATGTATGTAGTATTGGTCACATACTCACCCATTCATCTGTTGGGGTATGGCAGTGTCAACGGTCACCTTCAATTCCATGCACCCAGATCCATTATAGTCAGGGTCTTTTTTCGAAATTCCCAATGCATTCATTAGAGCAGGCAATATCTTCACATAAGGCTCAACACCTTTTAGCACCTTCCAGTCATGGTAAGTTTTACCGGCTGAATTGAACACGATCAATCTGTGGCTTCTGAATTCTAGCAGACCTAGCAACCAGTGAGCTTTATTCGTGGGCAGGAGAGGCATGAACACATAGTCTACATCAGCCCAAGGTGTGCTCATAGTTATGCTATCACCTGTGACCACCTGGAACAACCGGCTTCCTGACAACAGAACATTAGGATCTTTTTTGAAAGCGGGGTATATGTCTTTTATCATGTTCTGGAAAGAGGAGTTTGTTGTTGTAGCTCTGTACTGTACTTTCCCAAATTTTGCTAGCTGCCGAATGTAGTAGAAGCATGCATCCATGTGCTGTGTGATCAAGAAGATAAGAAATAAGAGCAACATCAGAAAATTTCATAAAGTTGTGATTCTGTTACTTGTGACCAGGTTGGTATGTGACTTGTTGAACAAAACATATACTTATGAGACCACTGTGTCAGTGAACCGCATAGTAGTTCGTGCATGATGTGGTAGCAGAGTCGTAACGTGGTCTCATTTGTTAACAAGTAATTGTACGGTGAACAAATACATGAATGTTACCATACCCCACTATTCAAAGACGTCTCAGGGTCTACGAGTTGGTGGAACCATGTTTTGTTACCAAATGGATATGAGCCAATAACAAAAGCTGGTTTGATTACGTCATCATGCTCATTAAACTTTTTCCTGAAACAAGAAATGTAAGAACAATTTACTGTGACCATATGAGCAATAGATTGAAGAAAGGGAAGAAAATATTCGTGCCTTTTTTTGGGCTTGTATCCTCTCTGGAACCAACCCAAGAATGTCGACTTATCAGCTTCTTCAACATTGTCTTTGTAACTTCCAAATACAATAATGCTGTCGTCATGCCGGAATAACTTTCCTGCACCCGCAACAAATGGAGAACACAAAATCCTCGCTGGCCTTGACACCCGCTTCATTGGTAATTCAGAAGGCGGTTCAGAAGTTGGAGATTCCTGTGTATTGAAAAAGATAAAATGTTAGTTTATGCAGAATGAATGTAACATGAATTCATGGATGCGTGTGATCTGTGTATTTCGAAACGTGTACCGTTCGTGACCTACACATTCAGTGACCAGCATGCAGCACAAAGAACAAAATGGGAATACCTCTTCCTCAACATTTGCAGATGCTGTGATCACATCAGATATGACAGCATCTACCCGCTTTTGAATTTCTGCAGAGTGAGAAACATCCAATTGTGTGTATCCAAAACCCAAGTCAAATGATGGCGGTTGAAGACTACATTCAAAAGTAGCATCGTCACTTGGGTCGACCTTCCCCTTCCCTTTCCTGTCAACAACAGGTTCCTGATTTCCCACCTGCACATGAAATTGGAGAATATGACATGTGAAAAAATGTAAATACGGTCAGTGAAGGATGGATTGAACATATTGTTTACCTACCTCATCAATCTTGTGAACTTCTTCGACAACATGACTTTCTTCACCTCCAACTACAGCAGGTTCCGTATCTCCAAACTCTTTAACAAGACTACCTTTCCTATCGTTGAAAAGCCTTAAAATCTCATCCATAGTACTTGATATCATTGCAGTCACAAACTCGGACAAGAATTGCATATTCGTCCTAATTTCCGTCATGTCACATTTTATCTGTTCTTGCATCTTCATGATTTCATTAATCTTTTTTGTCTGATCACTCCGTTCCGTCCCATGATATTGTGGTTCATTTGGTGAATGTTGGGGGGCCGAAGGGCCTTCAGCATCATTGGATGTTTCCTGATGTGATGTCACCTCACATCGTCGTGGAGGATCCACGAAATCATCGTCGTCATCTGCAACATGAGCAGGTCCAACGCCAATGTCCGTTACCAAAGGCACAGATTCTCCACTCATGCTAGCAGGGTTAGCAGACTTTCGCTTCCTGTTTTTCCTTCGATAGCTGCCACAGGAAAACTCCGGTTGATTTGTTTTGTTATACTGCACCCCATCCATATATGGCATCGCCATTTCCGTTTCACTTGGTACCAGGTCACAGATCTGCATCTGCATTCCAGTAGAGATTAGAAAACAATAATGTTTACATATATTCAACTATCAGACAAAAAGAATTACTGGACCATTACATTAGGCTTCTTGAAGCAATCAGGCTCCTCTAACTTAGAAGCAGATGGTTGCTCGTTTGCAAACCAGTTTTTGATTCAGGGGTGCGTTGTTGATATCTTCGTGACAATAACTTCATCTAGACCAGGGAAGGTTTCGTAGATCCATGCTTGAAAGGCTACCAACATACCTCGTAGCCTGTAGTGTGTTGTTCGACGACTCAACCCATCTTTCAAAGAACTCAAAGTAACATCGAACAGTAACTTTCCCCACGGAAAACTATTCAGTGCAGGGAAGTCTTCAACGAGTGTGAACAAATAGTGATCAACAACTTTCTTATAATCTCTGGGAAACAAATAGGCAGTAATAAAATAGAGGATACCAATCAGTGCAACATCATGATCAGGGAGGGCTTCGACAAGATCTAAGTCCGGCATTTGGCAGGCAGATATAAATGTGGACTTCACATCTTCATGTGTTACACTACCTACCTGAGAAAAGTATTTTGTCTTCAATTGTGACGGTCTACTTTCAAAAATACTGATGTCACTATTGCCGGAACATCTCAATCTCGTGACCAGACAAAACTCAGCTATAGAAAATCTTACATATCACCCGGCAACTAAAAACCACAATTCTTCAGGATTGGGTTGATATACCTGCCTCAATAGGAAAAAGTGAATTAGCTGTGGTTGTACCACAATTTCATCGCATTCGAGGAAATGTGCGAAGCAAGTTCTCCTCATGATTTGCTTTTGATGGTTGCTTAAGTTAGTTTGTATACTTTTCAAGACACCCTTGGTCACTGATGTTGTAATCTTGCCTGGGAACCACTGTTCCTCTGGAATGATGAATTGCCAGGCCTACACGAAGTTTTTAGAATGACGTAATGTTAAACAAATGTAGTGAAACCACAAACACATAGATATGCATGCACCTGTACAGTTAGCCTGAAACAAATTGTTTTGTACAGGTCACATATGTATGCAACTGTGCACTTAGACCACAAAAACATATTCATAATTCGATATCATGGTCACATAAAACTATTCAATAACTATGTTATCAATCAAGTCACATGCATGCACTATGTCATCCATTAAAGGCACAAATTCATAATTGTCTCGGTCACAGATTCACATATTGGTCACATGGTCATGTTGATAATGGTCATGTTCACAGATGGTGTAATAAAAACTCATTTCAGTACACATGTTTAACAATCAGTTCAGTACATGCATAATGTCATCCATTGATTAAGGCCACAAATTCATATTTGTCTCGGTCACAGATTGACATATTCATCACATGAACCTTCATTGTTGATGATGGTCATGTTCATCGACGGGGTAAACAAAACACATTTCACCACACATGTTGTTCACACACAATGAGGTGACGAAACTTTAATCCTATGATTACAACTGATTAAGTTTACAGATGTCAAATTAATGTTCAATAGTGCTAAACCCATGATTCAACCAACATGTGTGCCACTAAAATCAGAACGCATACACCAGAAATTTAAAAAACCTTGTTTGATCGCACTTTTCTCGCGGACACCGAAACGACGTGCTTCTTAGGTGAGGTTCTTTTGGGGCTCTGCTCAGTTTTCCTCTTTTTTGTTCGTTTTGACATGTCTTCGACATTAGTAACCGGTTTTGCGCCCTTCGATTCCTCTATTTCACTTCGCTTGTTGATCCCAATCAAAAAAATTGGGCGAAAACTACTTGAACATGTTATATACTACTACGAATGAAGCTGATAACACAGTTGCAAAATGGAAAACGAGAGACTTCGAAATTACCGGATGTGAAATCAAACGTACGATCGAAGCGGATTCGTGGGGCAAAAGTTTTGGGTAGTTTGGAATCGTGCAGAAGATATTGAGAGAGAGAGAGAGAGAGAGAGAGCTACAGGTTTATAGAATTTCGGCTGCGGTTCTCCTGGGTTTTCAAACCTTAAACGAGGTTTAATAATTACTTAACTTATGGAAACATAAATACAGAAACATACCATCTTGGACCAATTTGATTGGTCAAATAATTAAAAGAGGAAAAATTGTTTTATATTTTAGGTAATACACATTCATACCTTGGAGGAGTCTCTACATAAGTAGAGAAAATCATTAAGGTACGTTCGGCTGCTTCGAGAGAAAATTGTTTACATCATTTTAATAACATTAAGCCCTTGTTTGGACTCCATTAAAATCAAAATTTGGGGATAATGTATTTTAAAATAGCAATTTTTTAAGAATCTTTGATTAAAAAGATAAAATAAATTTAAATTTGAATATAATATTATTTTATCGAAGAATGCATGATGAAACCCAAACAGGGACTAGGAGTTGAAGGGATCACCTGTATATCTTGCATGGATCAAGTGGTGTCAAAACCGAAGGCCCGGTTTGGTCTCTAAATGGGTCTTCATCAGCCCGGTTTGTTGGGCAGTTTAGGCCAAGCCTGGGATATGGATTAATTTTTGGCCCAGTCCAGGTTGATCCATAACTCCAGTACTCCTTTCACATGTTTTCGGATTATAAACGCAGAAGGAAAAGTTTAGAATTGTCAATGATGAGTGAGTAAACCAATCAACACCATCAAAATTATTTAATTTAATTTTTTAAATTTTGAGTGTATTTATCCAAATACATAAAACAAGGGCAAATATTGCTGATAAAACCAGTCTTTTGGCATTGAGTGATGATATAATTGAGTATGTGGAATATGCCTTCTTGTATTCCCCATGCACTCCATTATATCAAGCACAAAAATCTCCCACACTCAATCTGGGTTTTGTTCTTTCCTCATCTCCACAAGAAATTAAATATCAAATTGCCAAAAAAGCTAGAGAAATTTTCATCTACTTATAAGTTTTGACGAAGTCAAGTTCTAACATGGCTCGAGAGGGTAACGATGTCACATGATTTCTCACCTTGCAGTTCTTCAGGGTGGAGAATGCTGATAGGTACCTGAGACCACGACTGGTTGGAGATGAACACAATCCGATTATCACAAAGTAAGTTTACTTCTAGGAAGTGATCAAAGTTACAAATAAGTTACTCATTGAGAGAAGGAAGAGTTAACACCAAAAAGAGGCATGTGGCGATGGAAAACAAAACGATAGAAACTAATAACTGCAGTCTGCAGAACTGATCTTCTGCCCACTATGGAAAGTAAATATGTTGCCCACCAATGATGTGGCAACATGTAGTGTTAGCCAAATCACTGATGAGGTCTAAAATACTGATAATGTGGTGGGCAACATATCTTTTGCCCACTATGGGTAGAAGATTAGTTATGCTAATAACTAATATCGACAATAGCAATGCATTGCATAAATTAGCGGTTTTTCTAATACTTCTTACAACATTTTCCAGAGGGTAAAAGCAATAGGTTTTGCAAATTACATTATTTCAATGCATTGAAACCGGAATTATTCTGCGAACACCTAGAAGAACCGTATGGCAGTTTGAAAAAGAAAAAACTCTTAACCAAAACCAACCGGTAGAGCCAAAACACAAGTACTATCTATCTCTCATGAATAATATTCCTCCATAGGAAATAAGAAAACAAGATGAAAGGATGTCATCTTTAATCACCTTTGTAAATGAGAGAACAAGAATTGGAACTCCTCAAGGTCGAGCCCTTTTCCTTGGCCTGTTTGCTTTTTCATGAATCGTCCTTCTCGACCAGTATTCTCTTGCATGCCTCATAACACATGAAAGAAATTCCAGCAGCAGGGACTAATTTCATGCAGCTCGG